GGGGGGGTGTTGAAGTAATTACTCCCTCCCTGGTTGATGTCAAACCTACAGGGTGAGTGTCCCCAGCGCCATTGGATTGAATGGTTATACCTTCAGGAGTGTGTAGGGATCATCCAGAAAGTACGTCTGGCATTCGCTCGCTACGAAACTGCCCAAATCAGCCAATGCGAGCTCTCGTAGCGCCTGATAGGTAGGCCACAACGTGCCTGCGTTGCATGCGTGTACTGCTTTGTGGCCTACCCCGAGTCTCGCGGGCGCCGAGCTTCCGGAGATCAGAGAAAATCGGACTTTCTTTCTGGACGAACGCTTACACCCAATCACATCCCATCGTCATCGAGTACCTTGGAGGGCACTTTGATGACGTTCCTCTGGCCACGAAAGGGGATCTTCGTGGCGCCCGGGGCTTCAAACACAAACTTCTTGGGCCTGAAGAGGGCACGGCGGTCTAGGTCCTCCTTAATACGCAGCTCCATCTTCCTCATTTTGTCCGTGATGTACTGGCGGAAGTCCTCCTCGGCGACGGCGGCCGAGGCCAGTGAGTCGCTCGGGCTGATGCTGAGCGCCTTGTCGCGTAGCTCGCGCCACAACTCGTCGTTCTGTTTGGTGATGCAGTCCCGGAGCACCATGAGCTGCGCGACCTACAGACAACCGTAGACTGCCGCCCTCCACAAGTTTCAACTGAAAGCCCCACCGGCTCGCCACCGGCACAACCTTACAATGTTCTTGGTGGCCCTGGCCTTGCGGTTGATGTTCCCCGTGAGCAGGTCTGTCTCCACCTCAAGCAGGTCCTTCTGGAAGTCCTCGAGCTGTCGTTTGAAGAGAAAGCTCTCCTTGTGCAGTTTAGTCTCGAGCTCAAGGTTCTCCTTCGTGATACCCTACACAAACGTGGCTGCCGTCAATGGCCTGTTAGGACCTGTGCAGTGCAGGGGTAAGTCGTGGCTCCGGTGAAAGTGCCCCCAGGGAATATGCAAACCGGCAAACCTGCGACACCGCTGTGACCATGCCCCGACAGACGGTACAGAAGATTTTATCCGGATCTTTTCTTTTTACGCAGGTGTGTTTGTGTTTCTCATGTAAGCGGGCAACATTTTCCGTTTGACATCAGTCAAAACATGTTGTTTGAGCCCACCACCCTAGTATGTAACCCAGAAGCCAGAGGGCCCCACCCTCGTGCTGTACAGTTTGCCTGCATTTCCTCCAGATGCTGCAGGTCCGGATGCAGGTGCGCAGTGAGCCCGTCCCTCTCCTGGCGGAGTGCGAGCCACTCAGCCTCCAGGACGCGCTCCGTCTCGTCCATATCCTCGATGTCTCTGCCCGAGGGAAACACTTTCAAAGCGAGCTCAGGCCGTCTGTGTACCGGGTGTACTATCAGAGCGGACGCTGCAGCGCGGCGCTAACTGCGCCCGTAGGCGAGCTGGAGGCGCTATGGCCCCTGTGGCGCAAGCGCGCGCAAGAGGGGATGCAATCCCGCTGCACTGCAGCGTCCGCCCTGATACACCCAGCGCGCATGCGCATACCTCGCGATGGCCTCCCCCAGGCAGCGCAAATTGTCGGCCTGCTCGTCCAGCTGCTCCGCCTCGCGGTACACCCTCTCGCTGTGCAGGCGGCTCTCTAGACGCTCCTGGCGCTCCTTGCGGCGCTGCAGGTCCTCCAGACTGTCCACGAACGAGTTCCTGGAGCCTCTGTGGTAGAGCACCTGGTGGTTGGCGCCCGCGGTGCCCGCGGCCTCCTGGAGCTGCTGGCGCGCCCTGCCGAGCTCGCCTTCGTGCGCGAGGCAGAGCTGCAGCTCGGCGCTCGCCTGCTGCAGCAGCTTGGTCACCGCCTCCATCTCCAAGGCCTGCGCCTGGCCCAGCCGCGACAGCTCGTACTGCTGCCGTTTCACCTGCGCCGACCCGAATTCTCCCGGCCTATCCGCAGCGGCCTAGCTATGCCACAGCTGCAGCCAGCTGCCGCCCACCTGCAGCTGCAGGAAGCTGTTGTTGCGCCGGAGCTTCTCCTCCTTGGCGCGCGCGGCCTGCTCGTCGAGGCACTCCCTCGCGAGGGGGTTCTTCTCCCGCAGCCTGTAGGCAGAAGCGGGGGTGCGTTGGGGTCGCCACTGGCCTACGTCTCCCCGTCTCCCCCTCGTCCTCCCTGCTCTAGCCGAGGCTCTAGCCGAGGCTCCAGCCTACTTGGCACGCTCTTTCTCCACCCTTCCGCTGAGCGCCTCGTGTTCGCCGATCAGCTCTTTCAGCTCGCCAATGACGTCCTTGCTGACGAGAGCGTCACCCTCGGGTCTAGCGATGGCTGGCCCCAACGGTTGCCCCGCCGAGCTTTCGACGACGGCGACGTCTGGCGCTTGCACGACCTGTCGCGCAGGGGCCCCTGCAGGGGCAGCTGCAACTGCAGCGTCTGCTCCCGCCGAGGCTCTGGCCCCGCTGGTGTTGCTCCGCGCCTGCGCCACCCGAACACTAGAGTCTGTGCAACCGTGGGCTGCGTCCAGGTAAAGGGGTGCTAGGCTAGGCGGTCCTGGGGGATCCGCAGCGGTTAGGACAACGTGCCTGGATGAAAGAGGAGCCGTCAGACTTGTTTTTATTAACGCTCGAACGTGTTTCATTATTTGTGCTTTAGATAAGGCAGCGAGGCCCTGCACGCGCACGCAGTGCTGCACCTGCAGGCGGCGCAGGAGGTGGCCGAGCACGGCGCCGTGCTTCTCGAGGGCCTGCTCCACTAGGCGGTGCTCTTGGCTCAGCGCGCGCGCGGCCGCCTCCACCTCGGCGCGCAGCTCCTCCCAGCAGCGCCGCGCCTCGCAGGCCTCCGAGCCCTCGGCGTCCTCGGCGTCCTCGACCTGCGCCTGCAGAGCCCTCAGCTGCTCCAGCCTGGCGCAGCATGCCTCGTACCTGGGCGGGAGAAGTCACGTCGCGCTTGCAGCCGACAGGTGGATGGTTTGGGGATCTGTCTGCCCTGCCAATCATTTCGTATGCCCCCCTCCCACGCTCTGGCTGTTTAGGCGAAACATGGGGGAGACTGACAGTTCCCTGTTCCCGTATCCAAACACGTCGTTTTCGCGGATTTGCTACTCAGCGCCCGAGGATAATAACATTTTCACCAACACGCGTTTACAACAAGTTTGTACCGGATGGAGGAAGTACTTAGCAAATATTACCGAGATCTTAACCTTTTAGGTTGTTGTTATAGAAGTCTGATGGCACTTGACATTTTCCCTAAACCGTACAGTTAGTCCCAAATATCCTTCTACCGCCATAACGGTACAAAATAGAGCGAAACGGACAAAATTTTGGCCCGGGTGCTACTTCGTCGAGTTACCCCTAAGAACACTACTTTAAATTTTTCTAACAACATTTTTTTAAAAACCTTACTCTTACCCTTATATAGTGGATGAACTAACTGTGAGGTTTGGGAAAAATTTCAAGTGCCATCCGATTTCTATATAAAATAACATTCAAATTTTCCGAGTTAGTCCCTCAGCTGACACCCCGCGAGAGTAAAAGGTGTGAAGTGAAGCAGCCGATGTGACGCAATGGTGGACGCATGCCGCATGGGGGCCCTTCAGGGGCGCGTCAAAATAAGTGTCGTACGTACGTACGTCCGGCCGTACGTCCGTCCGGCCGACGGCTACCAAACAAAAGTATCATTTAATAGGTGAAACCGCATATTTTCGGAAAGGGGAGAGTAAGAGGATTATTATACTGTGAAAACATGGGCGCTTTCATGCCATGCTGAAAAGAATGGAGCTTTAGAAAGATAGCGGTAGCGCGGCTTGCAAACCGCTGGAATCTTTCTAAAGCTCCATTCTTTTCAGCATGGCATGAAAGCGCCCATATTTTCACAGTATACACAGTATACCGGGTGGTCCACAGACCCCTTCCTTTATTTTGCTTATACTGTACCGCATGCAGGCGTGCGGGCGGGCTTGCCTACCGTCGCTCACCGCGGCGCCTTATGGCCCCGTGCGAGTATGCAACCCGGCCGCACGCCTGCATCCGGTACATTATAAGCAAAATAAAGGAAGGGGTCTGTGGACCACCCTGTATTACTCTCCCCTTTCCGAAAATATGCGGTTTCACCTATTAAATGGTACTTTTGTTTGGTAGCCGTCGGCCGGACGGACGTACGGCCGGACGTACGTACGTACGACACTTATTTTGACGCGCCCCTGAGGGAGAGAGTCGGTTGTTCGACCCCCGCCCCCCTCCCTGCTTTCCGCACTGGTGCCTGCCGTCCGCCCGTCCGTTCGAACGTAAGCTAAAAGATCGTCCAGTAAGTATACTTACATCTGTTTTTCTCAGATTCATTAGGCAAATAACGGAACGTCGGCGCCTGCAAAACTCGGGGTAGGCCACCCACAGTACGCGCATGCACTCGGGCATCTTTTAACGTATGCAGGAAGGAGGACGGGGGTCGACCCTCGTATATTTAGTATGGTATTATCTTCTAATGTCAGGGTAGCGAATGATCGAGTAACGTACAAACGTTTCCAGCGATCAATGTCTTGGTGGAAGGTATCTGGCATTGCTGGATCGGAGACCAAGGAGGTGACGGGGATAACGATCTGCGCTGGCTCATCAGGGCCTCCTGGAGTGTCCATTCCGTCGTATGGTTGCTGACGCTGTCGGTGTTTCCAGATAATATTTACTTGGTTAAATAATGTGTCTATTTTTTGTCCAGTTGTTAAATCCTGATGTGGTTGAGATAGAGATAGGTCTGTTCATTTGGATAAGGAGAGACGTTATTTTCCCAAGGAGAACAGGTTGGTCACTTTAAAGTCAGTTTTTGATGTCAATGACGTCCCTAATGGCATCTCTCAAGCCAAAATAGTGACTAAAAATGGTGACTAAATGACGTCATTTTAATGTACCTGTGACTACCCTGTTCTCCTTGGGTCCCAAACTCAACGCGAGAGTGTTTTGACATCTTGTATTAAAAACTTCCCATAATACTCTGCAAATAATAATCATAAAAAAGAAAACGGGGGTCACTTGTTTACCGTGTATAAGAGTCAGTAAACCGGACTGGTGAAAAATTGACGTCTTGTCAGACAGAACTTGTTGAACACATCAACCCATCGACCTGATTACAATGAGAATTCAATTGCGAAATAAGGTCGTTCAACTACACGCGAAAAAGTGCAAAATAGACGCGCAGTATGAGACACAATGCCTCCGAAATACCGCAAAATATCCCGCCTCGAAATAATCAGAAAATACACTAGAAAAACAAAGGTAGGAATAAACACTTTTCTTGGTATTAATGACTTTCGTGCCTTTACAGAGGCACTAAACGATCCGCACGCCTGGAAAGGCACAAAATGTCCCAAAGGTGCTACATTTTGGTGACTTTGGTGTCTTTCTGAAGGCATAAAAATTTAGCACCTTTAAAAGGTGCTAAGTCATACCATCGTAGGCGCGAAATAACCGAAATAAATGGCCCTACCACGAAATAGTCCGTCCGCCGTGTTCTCTAGTGATTTACTTCTCGACCTGAGACTCCCGCTTTCTTCTTTCCCGTATCCTTCTTCTTTTCAGCTTTACCGGAATGCTTTATTTTGTACTCGTTCACCACTGGGTTACTGTTGGAATGGGTTGCCTAGATACAAGGCGCTACACTGTAAATCTGGGGTGTCCAGCAACTGTGCGCTCTAAGTTGCACGACCCAGGTTTCTGTGCAACTTACAGCGCACAGTTGCTGGACACCTCGAGTTTTGCCACCCTATAACTGCAGACGGGCCCCGGCAAGGGGTGTCCAGGCACAGGACACCCTACCGAGGCTGGGCCTGGACCCTTTGCAGGGAAAGGGTGGCAAAACTCGAGGTGTCCAGCAACTGTGCGCTGTAAGTTGCACAGAAGCCTGGGTCGTGCAACTTAGAGCGCACAGTTGCTGGACACCCCAGATTTACAGTGTACCTAGTAGTACCACCCTTGCGAGTGAGATTGGAGCTGTCAACAGACCCAAGTAAAAGGTGTTCCCACCGAGGGGCCAACAACTCCCTTTTCCCTATGATGTGGACACATGATTTCCGAAATACTTGAGTCCCATTGATTTCCGCCTGCTTATATTTACTCGTCAGGTTTTCTAGTGGTAGAAAACGCTTTTTTAGACTAATTTGTACCAGTTCCACTACTAGTTTCCAGCTCAGTGTCGGCGATTTCTGTTGATTTCGATTAATTTTTATCCTGACGATTTCCAGGCAGGTGAACACATGATTCCTGGAGTTGTTACCCCCTTGGCTCCCACCCCACCATCTCATCTTCACTCTTATGCCGTGCAATATTTCGCCTTTCTCGTCGTGAACATGAGTACGGGGGGTCTTCGACACCACACCCTTTATACACTACGATACACATTAGGGATTTCGACAAGCCAAAGCGACCAATTATTTCTGCTCTGGAAACCTAGGTGTCAGACCTTTTGGTATCAGACGCACTACCAAAATGTGTAGTACAATGGAAAAACAAAGGTGCGATATCCTACCTTTCCTGGGGTGTTAACACCAGTTAAACCAGTTTTGGGGGTGCTAAAGTGTGTATTTTCAGATTTCCCTAAATATTTTCTGAATGAGCAAACCAATAACATTTTATGATACATTGTTGCCTCGCAAAATTCCGCGTGAAACGAGCCTACATATGATAGGGTTCTGATCAGCAGTCAGCAAATTAAAAGCAAGTCAAGAAGTACAAAACAATTATATCAATTTATGCCATTTTTGAACAGAACCCCATCACATGTAGACTCGTTCGACGCGGAATTTTGCGTAGATTACGAAAATAGGTCTAAAAATCAAATTTTTCATAGAAACGAAATATTTCGAAAAAACATAAACTGTAATGCCTTTGGAGTTGGAGCTTTAGTGCATTTTAAAGGTAGGATATCCTACCTTTGTTTTACCAGTGTACATACGTACACGTTCCTCACACCAAAAGATATGAGTGTCTCATACGTAGGTTTCCAGACTGACAAGATGAAAGATTATAGTTGGAAAAACTTCAAACTGTTTGTAAGTACACAGCCAATTAGTTTTATTTTGTAACAGTTTATCACACACACAACACAACATGTTTACGCACGCACGCATATACATACATATACATAGACTCACACTTATATAGAAGTAGTAGTAGTAGTCATCAGTACGTGAGCTCATGACTTTCTTCAGTCTTTCTTCCTAAGTTTGGCGGATGCCACTTCAACTCCCTGGAGCCAGAGGGTGAGTTCCTGCGGTTCCTTCCCCGGTTCCCGTCCGGTCAGCTTCTTCATCATGTCGAGCACGTCAATGTCCAGGATGTTCTGCTTACTTAGGATGATGGCGCGAACGAAGCCGTCGCCAACCGTGATAAACTGCTGCTCCAGGTATATGGCCTTGTCATCCCAGTGCACCACCTGGAAATTTAGGATAAGATTCGTGCCAATGGGAATCAACGACTGACCTCCTGTAAGTAATTGCTGCTTCATGGGGGAAGAAGGCAATTCCAGGAAGAATGGTAAAAAAGATGTCCGTATGGACATACGTATATACGTAACGCGCTCTGTACAAAACATGACTATTCACTGAAAAAAACAAGGGTAGGGCTTCGTGCCTTTTAAATGTGCTAAATTTTAATGCCTTTGGAAAAGCACAAAAGTGCCCAGGCCCAAAGGCACTATTTTTTTTTAACTTTTGGGGCACATACGGCTGCGAATCTTTTAGTGCCTCTGTAAAGGCACGAAAGTCATTACTACCAATACCCCAAGAGAGATGTTGATTCCTACCTTTGGTTTTCCAGGGTACACGTCTTGAGATGGCGAGTCCTAATTGACAATTGCTGGGCATGTATTGGAAAACGACGTAGCTCCTCTCAGCCACTCTCAATCGCGTGACATAAGTACATTTCTTTACAATTTTACCCCTAGAACTGTCCAATAGACTTGGATGTACTCTCTTTGTCACACTTTTGCCGTCTTTGTCGGCGGAATGCGACCGTGGCTTCCCCTCCGCCGGTCCGGTGAGAGAGGCGGGCGGGGCGGGAGCGGCGGGGCGCCGCCAGAGCCCGCTCTAGTGGCCTGGCCTGGCCGGCCTGGCCCACCGGGCTTCGAATCCGATTCAGCCGGAAGGGTCGTCATGTCTAAAGGCCCTTGTCCCGTGTGGTCATTGTAACCCACCGCGGCTGGGCGCTCCCCCCCCCCACACCCCCCCTCTCTCTCTCTCTCTCTCTCTCTCCCCCCCCTCCTCCCTCTGCTCGCTGCGCTAGAGGGTGGGGGTGATGGGGACGACGAACCCTGTCACCTCGTCACCCCGCATTGTCTCACTACGCGCGGAACCTTTGAATGAATATGAGGGGAATCTAGTTAGGCCCGCCCGGGCGGGCGCCCCTGCCCGGCGGCCCCGGCCGGCCCCGGCCGTGCGAGGGCGGCTCAGCCTTCGGTCACCGGCCCACAGAGAATTAGGAACTATCGATATGAGTACACCATAACGTGGATGCGAGGTGGACGGTTAACGGGTTTACTTACATCCGCCTCGCTTCCACGTTGTGGCAACGTCCCCATCCACGTCACCAACGTCGCATCCACCTCCAATCGACCTACACTTATCACTCGACCATCGACTCGCCATCCACGGTCAATCCAAGAGTGTGTTCTATGGGGTTCAGACTCTACCTGCGCAGCAGAGTGCCTTTTCTCTTCTTCCATTGATATTTGATAACATAGAGGCATGAATAGGGTGTAAGGGAGGGCAGGGCTTAATGCAAGTAAGAAGCAGGGGGCTAGAGTGACTAAAGGGCTGCGCGGGAAAGACGACCTTTTCTACTTACGTTCGTGGTGATCTTGTAAGGCGTGAAGATGGGGATGGTCCGCCTGTACCGCACCGTGGTGGCGCCCTGGAGGGCGTGCCCCTTGCGCTTCATGATCTCTTCGTAGATGCCGGTCCGATCGTAGAAGTGGAATCGCGCGAAGTCCAAGTCTCGCACGTAGCGGGCGTTGTTCATGTGCCTCCAGAAGATGTCCACATCTTGGGTAGTGCAGAATCCTATCGACACGAAGAAAGATTTTAAAAACAACATTGAGAAAAATGGTATGAATACAACATGACAGAGGGAACCGTTGCTGTTTGCAGACCGTAGATTGTGGTGCCGTCGGTGACCTTGGCCTTCTTCTGGAAGAGGCGGCCCCACAGAATGACGAAGCCGATGCGTAGGAAGTAGTTGACATCCGCGACCACGTAGAGAACGAGGAGGAGCGGCACGAGCCAGCAGAGGAAGCACAGCATGTTGACCACGGGGAGCGACGAGCGACAGAGCTGAGGCGCCGGTCTGAACTGAAGTGCTGACTCTCCTCGCCGGCCTGGGCCTGGCCGGCACCGCCGCCCCTGCCCCCACCCCGCGCGGCCCCGCCGACAGGCCGACACCGCTAGCAGGTCGCACTACACTCGCGGCTGTCTAGCAGCCCGCGCGTACGGCCACGCGACGACGCGACGCCCGCCCGCGGCCGCGCCGAGCTTACGCCCCAGCGACTGTGCTCCTCCGCGCGGCTGCCCGGGCTCTACGCCCCCCCCCCTCCTCCCGTCCTCCGGGCTCTCGCGGCGCAGCCTGAGTGAGCGGGAATCTTCTCCACGGGGCCACGTTGCCGTCGGGAGGAGCTCCGGATACCGTTTTACTTCACTCCATGCACCGGCAGCCTACACCGGCAGCCCGTAGCGGTGCAGCTTGCACGCTGTCTCCCCCGGCCGCAAGCGTTTCTGCTTCACGGCTGTGGCCACGACTGCGGGAAGGCCGGTAGGTGACGGGAGACACAGGACTAGTCCCTCCATCTCTATACGACTCCGCTTGGAAGAGGGCCACCCTGAAACTATTCGGACCTCTATGATGTCATGTCAGATCAGAGCACGACTCGCAAAAAAAAAAAAAAAATTGCAGCAACTATTTTGCTGGCAGAACGCCGGAATAGGAGCGGAAATGTTTGGTGAAGAGTTGCCCATTCCTGTTCCGGCGTTCTGCCATTTGTCGAGGCAGGCCGGGGTTATCTTTAAGCGATGAAGGCTCCCCCTTCCCCAGTCAGGGTATGTACTATACTAGGGTTCTTTCGCTGCCTCAAGTGTGTTCATTACCTGCCACAGCCACTACCGAACTGCCGCAAAAAATATCTAGTTGGAACTTCTGCCAGCAAATAGTAGCTGCGAATTCTTTTTGCGAGTCGTGCTCTGATCTGATATAGAGGTCCGAAGGAGGGACTAATCGGGACTGTTGTCGATGGCGTCTTATGAGTTGCCTACCTCCCCGGCGTGCGGAGCGACGGCCGCGGGTTAGCGCCCCTGTTCCCTGGGCGCTCAAAGTGTTTCGAGTGAACGCGTAGACAAATAAGTAAGCTGTTGTGTGGTGGCTAATTATTAATGTGCTGTCAGTCGATCTAGACGAAATCCAGACAAGTATGGGTAGACATCTACCTATATTACCTAGACACGAATCAGATGTGTTCTAGACGTCTAGAACTTGTCAGCAATCTATCTAAAAGCGTTCCAGATTGTGATATTATTGAACAGACATACAATACCATAACGTCTTCAACTCGCCGGAATTAAATATTCCGGTTCAATATCTGAAATCTGGAACTCTGCCTCTTTTGCAGTCTACATTTGGTCTGTGTGAAGTCAAAACCATGTCTAGAAAACATCTCGGAACACCTGCCAACACATGTCTCTTTTCCTTGTGTAACTTTCAGTATTCACTCACATCCAAACCTTTTCTAGAATGTTACTTATTACTTGCCTGTCCTTACTTTGGCGGGTTTCGAGCCGCGTAGACCTGGTGCTTCAGTTGACGCCTCTATCTACGGCAGGGGCGCCCAAACGGGGGTCAAGGTGGGTCGGCCGACCCACCTCAAAATCCCGAAAGGGGAGGTGGAGGAGGAGGGAAAGGGGAGGTAGGAGGAGAGGAAAGGGGAGGTGAAGAGGAGAGGAAAGGGGAGGTAGAAAGGGAGGAAAGGGGAGGAGAAAGAAAGGGGAGGAGAAAGAAAGAGAAAGAGGAAGAAAAAAGGGAGAAGGAAAGGGAGAGAAAGGAAAAGAAAGAAAGGGAGAAGGCGGAGGGAGATATGTAGAAGGGTCTATTTACAATTCGTTA